TTGACTCTCTTCAACTAGTGTTGCATACTTTTCACTGATCATCAACATTGGTATCATTTCACCTGTTTGCAATTTGTTCATTAACCATTCACGTAATTCTTTAAATGCAGAGTCTTCGCTCTTGCTTTGACTTGTGGCCTGAGACAGACTTGTACTTCTTTCGTCCGATGTCGTGAATGAGGTGAACGTATCATTTTGATTATTTTCAATTGATTGTAGTGGAGATATAGATTGATTTGACTATAAAGACAGAATCACACTTACGTCTGCCGAAAAATCTAGAAGTTTCTGACGTGTCTGCGAAAAGTATCCTCATGCTTTTTAAGTCTGCTTTACAAATTAATTCATAGATTTTACGGAAGAGAGTTGGCAAGATCTAAAAAGGCATGGTCACAACAACTAGCTGCTCGGTTTTCTAGTGAGAAACAACCAGGAAAATGGCGGTATATCGCAAATCCGAATTCAATTATGCTATCTAAGAGAGAAATTTTAATCTTAGTAGAGAGAAAAGCCTTCGGATTTTTGGATTGTTGTCAATTTTGTGGTTGTCCTTTGGCATGACAGCTCACTATTTTATAACTATTCAGGTCGCCGCGAACTTCTGCGATGAATATTTTGTGATACTTTTTCAGATATAGGAGATTTTCAGTTTTTTACTCTAGATTATGTCTGCCGTCATTACCTTACCGGCTGCTCTTCTACAGGGCGTATACGTTTTGAAAAGGAGTTATCTTTCTCTTCAAAAGCGTCTTGTTGTCTTTTTGGCGAATGACAAAATACAGGAAAGTGGATTGAGAAAAATACAGTTTAAATTCAAACACAGGCTCGTATTTTCAAGTTCGAAAAATGAATTTATGCTCACCGACTGTGAATATCTGGTATATTGCATAGGAGTACTACATAACGGTTGAGCATCAGTGCTGATATGTGGTGTACGAACAATACTACTACTTTCTAACAGTGATACTGCAGATGCCATTCCGCTGTCACAATCATTTAGTTGTGATCGGTTTGATAAAGTTTTTCGTAAACTCCTCCGAGATGCAGAAGTTATATATGTTGTAGAACCCGAAGTTGTGCTATTATCATCTGTAGTTGAAATTTGTGAAACATTATTCTGCTGTTTGTTAGCTGAGGTAAATGGTAAATGACTCAAAAATCTTTTTATTGTGGATTTCTTTGCAACTTTTATGTTCGAAGATGGTTGAGATAACAATTGTTCAGAAGCTGTACCACCGTGATTATGTATCGCAACATCGTCTGTAATACCAACGATATCATCATCTATAGTGTCCCGTTCATCATCTGTGAAAAGAAAAAGATGCGAGTATATAAGAATGAAATAAAGAGGAAATTTGCTGTTTAAATCCCAGGTACAACAAAAAATGTGTATGGCCGGTATAATATGTATTAAGACGAACGAAAACACGATCGATTTCGACGAGATATCAAAGAAGGACCCGTGACAATTCTCCCGAATCACTTGGACATGCGTATGTAAAAGTTACAGTCGACTAAAGACTCTTTTGTCGTCCGTTCTCACGATGCTCTAACGAATGTAATGGTTTCAAAGGTGTAAAAGGCTTATAGATGGTTCTCTACAGATCCATTGTCTAGAATACCATCCGATAAATCGTTTCAAATCTGTTTCATCGAAAAGAGAATTGTCGAAAACCTACATAAACAGTATTGGGGCCATTTTTTTAAGTTATTTTTACTTTCTGCAGTTTGAGTCAAAAGTTTCGATCTGTCTAGATCCTGGAATGTATGAAACCGATCATGTTCAAAATTTATCGTAAAGAACGTATGGATTTACACCATTCGATGCAGATTTTTTTTTGCGCTGATATCAACTAGTTTCAGATAGGCAGCTCCAAGCAGTGATTTGCAGAATAAGCGTAATTTCAGCCCTAACCTTATCTGTGTCGGACATTCTACGCTTTTTTCCAACATTTCTTTTTATAGTTAATAATTTCCCAAATTGCTACTGAAGCAGAATTTTTTTACAAATAACTAGTGGGTGAATTAAACGTACTTATCAAGCTATGCCAATTTCATTTGCTTCTCTTTCCGATCTGTCTATTGCAGAAGAGTTTCTGATGCTTCCTGTCCGGAAAATACATATCAAACAAAAGGAAGTCCAGTTTTAAAATGTTCTCAGTGACAAGCAGGCTTTAGAGTTCGCAAAGGAGTGCAAAGGACAGTTTCATTTCTAATACAGTCATAATTTCTAGAAATTTTTTGAAGTATGATCATCCTTACCACCAGCTTCAGCTGTCAGTTCGTATTTCGTAGTACGTTGTCCTGAAGAATATAAACGGTGATAACATGCTTTATGTATTCGTTTATTAGCAATATCATCTTTTAATTGTGAAGCGTATATGTTATTGTATCCGACAGATAATTTTTGAACCATATCTGACCGTACTACGAAAGAATTCGTGTTTGATAACAAGCTGCCTTTATTACAAATACAACATGGTTCAAGTGTTGACAATGATTTCTTATTAACAGGTGTAATTATGCTGCTGACATAATCATTTTCTTTACTAAAGAAACAATATCTTTTTAATCAAATGTACTTTTCCATGAAAGATCCTTGCCTTAGAATACTGCTTGTCTACCGACATTGCTTAAAGTAGCAGAGAATTAACTCTGTAAAGATCGTTCAGTTACGGCAGCGACAAATACAGAGACGATAAAACATGAATTTAGAGTGTACAGTCCTAGTAGTATTAGGGTTGCCCTTTGATGGAAAGATTGCTTATTTTGTATTTACGATGTGCTTCGTATGCAAAGCGTCTCAAAAAATCAGCAGATGTCTCATTTTATCATATAGGAGTTTACTGGCCTATCCACGAGTATGCTTAAAAAATTTTTGAATGAGTTTTGAGTTTCCAGATTGTCCAAAAGAGACATTTTAGCCGATATGCCGCGCCGCCGATAAAGACTCAAAATGTCACGCCGCCGCCGAGAGCGCTAAAACCTTTTTAGGTCAAAGCGTTGACTCCGCGATACGGTCGGAAAAAAAATTATAAAATACACAAAGTTTTGGCAAAAAGCTCACGTAGCTGCCGCCGAAGAAGGCGAAAAGTCTGGGGGATCACGACGTTGACGCCACCGATAAAGAGGTTTTTCACGCCGTCGTCGTCCATTTTGTCGGCTAACACGCCTAGGCCGGAATACTGAGCATTTGTATCGCAGCTTTCAGTGCCTTTACAAGAATATTATTCATTACAACGTAAAGATTCTGCTGCGCTCTTTCATTTGATACTGTCCTCAAGGTTCTACGAAAATACGAAGCTCTGCAATAGGAAAAACGTTTACTACAAATCGAGGGAGGTAATTATATCATTTCAACATCGGAAATATTACGCGTAGAAATTTTTTTGTAAATTAGCTGTAGTGCGATGCATCAGTCAACATTGGTTTTGGTACACAAACTACACCCAAAAACCGAGTCTTTTTACACACGAGGCACATTTGATTTGTATAACGTGGAGGTTTTATATTGATTTATCACATTGTCATGTAATGAACAAAAGTTTTCTTCTGTTCACAACCACCATCAAGACAAAAAGATGTCTGTCATCAAAGTGGAACTGCAATCCTTCTTAAATGTCTCTGCCACTTACTTAAGATTTTCAGATCGTTCGTATTCAGATAATATTTTGGATTTTATTTTATTTGTATTATTTTGCCATATATCTTTTAACCATAGTATTGATGTATTGGGATGTAGTTCAGCTGCAATAGACTTAAATAGTTCATCATCCAGCTGATTGAGCTTCGCTGCACCATGTGTTCTGAACGCATTTGTAAAAACATGAAGCAGAGCTGTAGGAGAAAACATATATTTTTCTTCAAAAAAAAGAATAACAATTTGTAAAGTTTAATCAGTTCCAAAACTCCTTTCTATCTAAATTTCTATGATATCTAGATCTCATTTCTTCCTGGCCTCATCTACTACCGTTGCTCGTCAGCAGTTGCTGCAGGAATTTTTTTACGGAATGGCTATTGACACGCCCAGGCGTGTCAACAAGAAGCTATTGCCACTCCCTTGGCGTGTCTGTGAAGACATAATGCCTCGTTTCTCACACTAATCCCAACTAGTACATACGTGCAGAAGTCAAAAGTTGAATTCAACTATTAATAGTTGAGAAATTATTTCAATTATTGCACTAGTCACTTATTGAACTATTCAATTATTTAACTATTCATTCAACTCGTCACTTCTGAAAATGAATAAAATAGAAACTATTCGACTTTTCAGATATTCAGTTGCAAAAAACCTTCCATACTTATCCAGTTTTGCGTTGGAGGTGGTAAATTTTCCACTTGAACACGAATGAGACAGCAGGTCGGAGCGGAGGGGAGTGGGTGTGGTGAGAGTGAATGTAGAATTGAATTAACACTTGAATAATTGAATACTTGAATAGTTGGAATAGTTGAATTGAACTGTTGACTTCTACCCTACTGAACTAGTAATATTTATTAATATTATATAATATGTATATTAATATTTACTTTTAAAGAAAAACTATATAGTGAAAAAGTAGTGAAGAGAAAAGACGGATCGCTTTCGAATTGTTTTCCAAAGTCTTGAAGTGAAGCTCTCTGGAAACGGTGAAGAAATAAATATAAATCATGCCTTTATAGAAGAAAATATCTATCGAAAAAAAAATGTTAATCTATGCGGACGGGTATATTTTTTGATAAAAGTCAAATATAGGTATGAATCTCAACAGAGAAGACTATATAAATATCATTTTCTAATGAAGATAAATCTGCAGGCTCATTTTTAAGAATTGGGTATAAAACAAAATTAGAGAAAAAAAAAAAATTTTATTTATACTTATACTCAGTTAGTCTGTGAAAATGAATAAAACTGCTTGCTATGAACCTCAAGGAAAATATTCAGAAGATTTCTTCATCCTAGCACCTTGTTGACACGCCCAGGGAGTGCCAATAGCTCCTTATTGACACGCCCGGGCGTGGCAATAGCTCCTTATTGACACGCCTAGGCGTGGCAGTAGCTCCTTGTTGACACTCAGGGGAGTGTCAATAGACTCACTCATTTTTTTATATAACTCTAAAAGGGACGCTCGGAAAAAACATCTATTGATAAATTTTTCAAGGAAACAAAACTCGTCTAGTTATTTTTGGATATTATAGCATTTCATACTTCTCAGGAGAACTCCCCGTAACACTGTACTCATGTGTTTCTAAAATATTTGTATAGTTAGATGAATGATGACATGTGATTTTTTACTATGCCCTACTTCTAATTGAATAATAACAGGCAGCTATACATTAATTATTACGCTGCTAGTTCAGTTTTACGAAAAGGGCAAAACACAGTTTGAAGTTACGCATTTTTTAGGCACTTAAAATATAAAACTGAAACTAATTTATTTGATATCATTTTCGAAGCAAAAATGCGCAAGTCTTGTAGTATATCTCAGCTGCAACTTAAACTGATATGCCTTAATAGAAGTATTGTGGTCAGGAAAGAAGGTCTGCGCCGACATTTAATTAAAGAGCTTAGTCATCATCTACTTACCGATCATGTCCGGGTTGCCATCTTTTAGTGTACTGAAAACCGAACGAGACAACGGTTCGTAAACGACTCAATAGAATTATTAAGCTTTCTTTGTGCTGGTAAAGGTGGGAAAAATTTTGAGAAAGTGGCAAGTAATAGTGCAGGACAACCTCTTTCCTGACGTGTTCAATAAAAACAATCTACGTTGCGACCATATGGTATCACATTAACAAAAATACCCGAAAACATAGCTAAATAAATGCAGTTAACCAGTTAACACTTCCTACAATAAATGGCTTCAACAGCTAGGGGATTGTCTAGTAGAAATCATCAATCAAAATAAAGGAGGAGTATACAATTTGGTTTACCCTAAATCACATCTATACGTACTTAGACTTGAACTATCTGATCGTTGGCACACTCATATGTCAACAAAAAAAAGTTCATACTATACCGTTTGGTTCGGTTACGGTTATGCTCATCGTGAAGACAGAGAATTTTATACACAAATGAGGCAAAATAAATAAATTAGCCCAAAATCCCATAGATACTGACACAGGAAAACCAAAAGGTGTACCTGTATCACGACCCATGTTTGAACAAATTGCTTTGCTTCAGTGTATTTGACTGCTTTTAGTAGTCTAGAGGGAAAACTATCTGACGACTCTTGAAGCAGACAAGTGAAGATTATTATCGCCAAAAAACTATTTACACTATAAAAAAAACCAACAACAAAGTTACTGTCAACAATGAAATAGTTCTAAAGTGACAGAGAACAGCTATGAACAAAAAATATTAGGTGAGGCATACAATAGGTAGATGTATTAATTTTGGTGTTTCGATCGATGGACAAGTGTTCAAAATAAAATAAATTTTCGCAATTAATTATTAATTGAAGCCTGATTTCTTCGTTGATTTATTTGTGCTTTGTCGAATTTAACTTTCATCACACAATAACAATGGAAATCTAATAAGGAAAAGAAAGACGAAGACAACAAACGCAGCTTTTGCTCGATAGTTAAGCAAAAGGAACTGCAGAAGAGAAGTCCATTTGAAAAATCAGCTCGGTCCTATTACCCTGTTCTCTAATTTATAAGATCGACTTACATTCGGTGAAAAAACGAAAGTACATTTTTGAAAGATTAGCGGATCCGGTGTTTTGTGAGCATTTTCAGATAAAGTAGTTAGCCGATCTAAACGAAGCGAAGTTTGCACTAACATTCTTTAATTCAGCTCAGGTTAATATAGCACCAAAAAAGAAAACGAATGCTATAAGCTGGAACTATATTTTCCTTTCGCTCTGCTCATTTATCGTGCAAAATCTTGCTTAAAGTCATGGTCTGGCGTCCAAGCCCAGTAAACTTAGGAAAAACCAAGAATCAGCTTTTGAGTTGTATTTTTAAACTGAGTTTTTAAAGTTTAATGAAAATTGAATGGAACGTTCTTCATACAGAACAGGAAACAGAAACAAATAAACAAAGCAACTCCTTGCTGCCTACGGTAACGATGGCTTCCATTATTGTTGATATTAGTGCCTCTAGATTTTTTTACACAGAAAGCAACTCACAATACGAAGCGTTTTTATAAGCGAAAACACTCATAATATCGTTGATCTAGGCAAACCATTCATTATAGGAGTAATTGTCTACAATAACAGCAACCATACTCTAACCCCATCACTATTCTCCAATTGTACGGTATGAGTCATTGGGTGTAGGACACCGACTAAAAGAAAAGTCCGAGTAAAACATAATGTAATCAGGGCTGAAAAAGTATATTAGAATATGCAAGACGCGGGGGGCAGATTATGTCTAATCTTTCTTGTACTAAGTCGTTGAAATTTCTGAGAAATGGGCACGGCTTACTTGAAATCATGCGTATAATTGATTGATTCATGGTAAAATCTTCGGTCCTGAGGGAACTGAAAATGAGTTCTTCAGTATTTTAGTTCCCTATGGGATCTTTGATCTTACGAGGGAACCGTCCCAGTTGTCCGGCTCCGATTTCGTTCGTTCATACATCATTCGATAGAGGACCTCGAGTAGGCAAAAAGGCTAAAAGGATTTGGGCGGAGGGCCCTTTAAGATCCGGTTTTCTGGAAAACCAGTTTTTCAGAAACTCTAAAAAGATAACCAGCACCTTTCTTGATGAGGCAAAAT